AGATGTGATGCCGGAGGAGCTGCCAAAAACTCTACCTCCAAGGCGTGAGGTAGACCACATGATCGAGTTGGAGGCGGGAGCTAAGCCACCTGCGCTTGCACCTTATCGCATGGCTCCGCCTGAGTTAGAAGAACTGAGGAAGCAATTGAAAGAGCTCCTCGAAGCAGGTCATATTCGTCCATCCAAGGCACCTTATGGAGCGCCAGTGCTGTTTTAGAAGAAGAAAGAAGGGTCGATGCGTCTATGCATTGATTACAGGGCGCTCAACAAGATCACAATTCGGAACAAGTATCCAATCCCGCTGATCACAGATTTGTTTGATCATCTTGGAGAAGCCAAATACTTCACCAAAATGGATCTCCGGAAAGGCTACTATCATGTGCGCATTGCAGAGGGGGATGAGCCAAAGACAGCATGCGTGACCAGTATGGAGCATTCGAATGGATGGTGATGCCCTTCGGCTTAACCAACGCACCTGCCACATTTTGCACGCTGATGAACGAGATTTTGAATCCCTACTTGGACCAGTTCGTAGTGGTGTACTTAGATGACATAGTCGTCTATAGTAGCACTTTGCAGGAGCACGTAGAGCACTTGAAGAAGGTCTTCAAAGTCTTGCGGGAAAATCAACTCTATGTCAAGCAGGAGAAGTGCGAGTTCGCCCAACAAAAGATACATTTCTTGGGCCATGTGATCAGCCAAGGTGAGCTTCGTATGGACGAGGCAAAGGTAAAGGCGATCCAAGATTGGGAAGCGCCTACGAAAATGACCGCTACGTTCTTTTCTTGGACTTGCTAATTATTATCGCAGGTTCATTAGCGGGTACTCCGCCATTGCCGCACCACTGACCGAGCTGCTGAAGAAGAACAGGCCTTGGCTGTGGAGCGAGGAGTGCGAGGAAGCGTTTGAAGGTCTTAAGGCTGCGGTTACTAAAGAGCCAGTCTTGATGCTGCCTTATTTCACCAAGACCTTCGATATCCATACGGATGCTTCTGATTTTGCCATTGGGGGAGTCTTGATGCAAGAGAAGCACCCCATAGCATTTGAAAGCCGGAAACTGAATGAAGCGGAACGACGGTACACTGTGCAGGAGAAGGAGATGACGGCCTTTGTGCATTGTCTACGCACATGGAGGCATTATCTACTAGGCTCCAAATTTACAGTGAAAACTGACAATGTTGCCACTAGCTATTTTCAGTCACAAAAGAAGATCACTCCAAAGCAGGCTCGTTGGCAGGATTTCTTAGCGGAATTCGACTACAACTTAGAGTACAAACTAGGAAAGGGCAACGTGGTAGTCAATGCATTGAGAAGAAAGAATGAATTAGCGGCCATCTTCTCAGTCCGTAGTGAGTTCCATGGCGCAATCAAATATGGTATGCAACGCGATCTGGAAGCCAAGAAGATTATGGAGCTGGCTGCTCAAGGCCAAACCAAACGGTTTTGGGTAGAAGACGGATTCTTGCTTACCACTGGCCGGAGGATCTATGTACCAAAGATCGGATTCATCAGGCGGCGTATTATCAAAGAAATCCACGACACTCCGTGGGCTGGGCATCCGGGACAGAAGAGAACGAGGGCATTAGTAGAGGCCTTCTATTTCTGGCCACGTATGCGGGAGGAGATCGAGCAGTACGTGCAGACTTGTCTAGTGTGCCAGCAAGACAAGGTAGAGCAAAGGCAACCAGGAGCGCTGTTGGAGCCATTACCCATAGCTGATCGTCCATGGGAGAGTATATCTATGGATTTCATTACTTCTTTGCCGAAGTCAAACGGGTTTGGCACTATTATGGTCGTAGTGGATAGATTTTCCAAATATGCTACATTCATGCCTGCCACAGCCGGTTGTACTGCTAAGGAAGCTGCACAATTGTTCTTTAAAAATGTTGTAAAGTATTGGGGGCTGCCGAGGTTCATCATTAGTGATCAGGATCCTCGTTTCACAAGAATCTTTTGGAGTGAACTCTTCGAGATTCTTGGTTCAAAACTTCACTTCTCCACCAGTTTCCACCCCCAAACTGATGGACAAACTGAACGCGTCAACGCTTTGTTGGAATGCTATCTTAGGCACTATGTCAGTGCACATCAGAAAGATTAGGCTAAGCTCCTAGACATGGCGCAATTTTCTTATAATTTGCAGAGGAGTGAATCTACAGGGCGCACACCGTTCGAGTTAGCAACAGGCCAGCAACCCCAAACTCCGCACTCATTGCCAACATTGTTCGAGGGGAAGAGTTTGGGCGCTTACAACCTTGCCAAGGGTTGGGAAGAGCAACTCGACCTTGCCAAATCTTATTTGAGCAAGGCGGCAAGGAGGATGAAGAAGTTCGTCGACCGCAAGCGTTGTCCCACCAACTATAAAGAAGGTGATATGGTTTTGGTAAAGTTTAATCCGAGGCAGTTTAAGGCACTTAGAGGCATGCATCACAATCTGGTGCGGAAATATGATGGTCCGTTCAAAATTGTTGCCAAGGTGGGTAAGATTTCAAACAGGTTGGAGTTACCTCCACACTTCAAGATCCACCCGGTCTTTCATGCAAGCGTCCTTAAGCCTTATCGTGAGGACAAGGACGATCCCAGCCGGAACAAATCACAACGGGCCCCAATCACCATTACTGCCTCGCATGATCGTGAAATTGAAGCTATCATAGATTACCAAGCCAAGCGGAAACGAGGACAGCAAGCCAGTGCCATGTTTCTTGTACATTGGAAGGGACAAACTCCGGAAGAAGCCACATGGGAGAAGTACGAAGACTTGTGGCAGTTCAAAGATAAAATTCAGGAGTTCTTGCAGCAATGCGTCGCGGTCGTCGCATCATGGGGTGGGGGAGATTGTGACGTCCCGCCATCCATTCAGGCTGAACGCCACCCAACTAGGCAGCCAGCAGGCGCAGCAGGCGCAAGGGAGCAGGCTGACCACGCAGGTCAGCAGCCAAGGGGGGCCAGCAGTAGCTCAAGAGGCAGCAGTTACAACAGTTTCAGCTGTTACGGCAGTTACAGCCGTTACAGCTGTTACACTTGTTAGTGGGGCAGCTGTTTCAGGAGTTACAAGTCTTTGAGAGGCTTGTGCAGATCATGGGGCAGACTAGGAGCATCTAGGAGTCCTTTTTGGAAGACTTAGAAGCTTGTCTTGTAGGCATAGACTTAGGAACTTGTATAGTTTATTTACTAACTCTTAGGCAGCATTAGAGTAGTATAAATAGTAGTTCATTTTTACTTGTAAAGCATCCAATTATTTTTCAAGTAATAGAAGTTCCTTCTTCCAAAGTTCTGTCTACTTCTTATTTTCTTAGCGATCCGAGTTTTAGGCTTACTTGAGTTTGCAAGAACGTGCAAGAGTCGTGAGTAAATTGTCAAGTGTCGCACGGAACATTGTCCGAATCAAAAAGTCCGTGACATAACTCTCCAAACCTTTACATCATAGGATTTCATAAAGATCTCCATTCTTACTTTCCAATGGAAAAAATGTTCTCAATTAAAGTATGGGGGCCTGGTTTGAGATGTTCCTTCTTTATATTTTGCGCCCATGATTTATTGTGCCATAATCTTTTTTCTCACATGTTGTTAGATGGTTCTTTGTGAGACGAGGATCTGATACCAATTGAAAGCGCAAGAGGGGGGTAAGTTGCCAACTTTTCTATTTTTCTTTGTGAGTAGTTGACTTAGAAACTACCTCAGTCGACTACAGTTTACTAACAAGTATAAAAGGAAATAAATACTTCGGAAAGTAAACTTCACATGAGAATTTTATACTAGTTCAGATCCAATGTAGATATTACATGCAGTCCCCTTGGGTTACTAGGGGGTGTTCTTTTCAAGACTAAGTAACTTTTGATATGAGTATAGAGTTTTGATTGTGACTTCACTGTTCACACTCATGCTTCATTTCTCTATTTTGTTTTGATATAATATCTCACCAACAATGTTTCTCTCTTCTCTCTCTTTTATTTACACACCAGAACTAAGTAATACAATGCTTATCGAAAGTAGAATAGGGAGCGTTTGAGATGATTCAGACTAGGTTGTATGTTTTGTTAGTTGATGGATGGAGCATATTTATAGGTTTGAGGCTTGAATTTTTTCTGTGAAGATCTAGAAACCCAAGAGATTTGATCCTTGGAAAAAAACATGGAATCCTTCGAATAGCATTATTTTTTGTAACAAAATTTTCGAATAGCGCAATTTATAGGACATAATATTAACGAAAATTAAGTTCGTGTATGAAAAGATATGAACAAATAGGATAGTAATTGACACATTCATTATTGTATGATAATAATAAAAAGAAAAATAGGGGAAAATGTAAAAAAAAATGAGAAAAAGAAGATAAATATGGTCCTTGGCCAAATAGAGTTGTGCTGCATCACTTTTCTTTTATCTAGCATTATATTATATATTTATATAGATATAAATATAGATTCGATCCAATTCATTTGCTTTCCATATTCAAGCTCCCTAAGACTATTATAAAATAGAATGAAGTAATATTTTTTGTTGGGTTTTAATGATGGCAAGAAGAAACAGTGCATTCTGGAAATTGATGACAATCAACAATATATTGACCAAGTTCATAAAGGATAAACAATGATAAATCTTTAGATGGCGCATTTTGGCCCCTAGGGAGAGTCTTTTAAGTTTATCCAAAGAATTATTTTAACTAACAAGACTTGGAATATGTTGAAACTTGCTAGCAATGTTATGCAGTCAATCCAAAGAATTATTTTGAACTCCCCTTGGCAAGCCTGATCTTTAGATGAGAAATTTAGCTAGTGTGATCTTCTCAAGTGAAAGACAACCTCCTTTAAACATGTATTTTTAGCGGCATAATTAGTACTCTTTGTATGTTTGCCTAAATCCTATAGCCACATTGAATCCACTGCCAATTAACTCTTGTCCCTTGGTGCGTGGAGAATGATTGAAATACAAGTGTACAAAAAATGATACGCTTATAAATTAGTGTTTTGTTTGTATAATTTTGTTTATATCTGGTATGTACGCAGGTTTACATAGCCTCCTTCTCAATAGGCATGGGGGCAGGTCCTTGGCTCATTATGAGTGAGGTAAAGGTACATGCATGAATTACTTGACATATATATATACATATATATATACATATATATATATATACATATATATATATATATACATATATATATATATATATACATACATATATATATATATATACATAATATATATATATATATATATATATATATATATATATATATATATATATATATATATA